TGAATATTTTCATCATGACACAACATGCGTAACAAACCCTATAATATGGATAATTAAAGTGTCCATTCTTTTTTTATGATTTTTTTTACTTTAGAACACACATTAACTCTTGTAATTTTATTTTTTTTCATTTCAATTCAATTGTAATTATAAACTCTATGATTTGTAAAATACGTTAACTACTTTTTTTCTACCAAACAGAATTAGCAATTACTTGTTACATTTATTTGGGGAATTTATCAATAAATAATTTATACAAATTATTAATATTTCTTTCATAAATATTTCTATTATTTGTTTTATAACTTGATGGATGTTGTGATGAGGGCTAAAAATATATATCATAAAAAAATCATCATTTAGTAATTAGATAAAATTATAAATTCTAAAAATTAACGTTTGTTATAAAAATTCATATAAGAGATTAATTATATATAAAATAAGAAAAGAACAATGTTACTCTTATTACATTTTATATATATATATATATAAAATATTACAATTACTATATATTTTTATTTTATTTTTATGATTATCCTAATTATTTTCGGTTTATACTAAATTCATTCTTGATTATTTGAAAAAAAGATGTAGTCCCAAAAAAATTAAAGATGGGAAACGGTTATTAAAAAGAAAATCAAATCTTGACATCAGTATATTTTAGAAAAATACTAGTCATTTTGGTTATTTAGGGAAAAAAAACATTTATTGGTCCTCTAAAAAAAACTTATTTTTGGCAAGATGTCCTTTATAAAAAAACCGTGTCAAAAATTATAATTATCTTTAAAAAGAGAGATTATTGAAGTTGTTAAAAATAAATATTAAACTTGTATTAAAAGGAAGGATTAGGATTGAGACTTGTATCGATGGTACGTGGTATGAATTGGGCTTTGAGCCCATATGGATAGTAAGAAAAGAGTTTTTAAAATTCAAAAATATAAGCTTAATAGACCTTTTGATTTTAGCTATATCTTGATGACAAACTTATTATTAAGTTTAAATATATCTGCAACAAGTGTCTGTGTATATATTCAAAGAAAAATATTTTTATTAGATGCTAAAATATAATTTTTTTTTTGTTTTTTTCGTTTTTTCTTATAAACAAACGCACTAAAGAAATTACTATGATGGAATATGCAAAAATTGACTATTTTGGAAAGAGGTGGCCGGGGCGTGAATATTCAGAATTTTTTATTTGAATTCATGAACATTGATATGCCTAAATCAAACCCTCTAAGCCCATGAACACTACAATAAAAAATGAATTCAACCCAGATTTACAAAGCCATAGCACATTATGTATAGTCCAAGACAAATAAGCCCAACAAAATCTAAGAGAAGCCCAAAATTAAATTAAACCACTTCCCTTTCCAAGATCTTCTTCTTAACATTTTCTATCCATGCAAAGATTATGAAAATATACAAATAACATAAAAAAAATAAAAAATAGCAGTTTGAATTAACAAATTCAAACTTATTAAATATACAAATAAAAAATATACAAATATACACATAATGTTTTTCAAAAATATACAAATGATATAACTTAATTCTTATCTTATTAAATATAAAAAAATAAATTTATGTAAAAAAAATATAAAATAGCAGTTTCAATTAACCCTAGCATCATCACAAATTTGTAATCTTGATAATCAGGATCAAATTAATCTAGGTTCACCAAACTAGCAACCCAGATTATAAAATTGAGATAACTCGATAAAAAAAAAATCACAAAACCTGTTTATAAAAAAAATTAATGTCAACTTGTGTTATCTTTTCAAACTTGTCATCCAAGTCATTAAGCTAAAAATATCCTATTTGAAAAAACTATAAAACTCAATTCATAATTAATTAAATATTAAAAAATAAAATTAAAAAAAATAATTTTACTCTGTAAACCCACTTGTTTTGCAAAGCCTTCTTTCCTTCAGGTAGTGTGGTTAGCTCCCAAGATTTGGTCTTTAACAACGACTCCATCTCGTCCTTCATAGCTAACTCTCACTTGCTCGAGTTTTCATCTTGTAAGGATTCTTCATAAGTTAATGGATCACCACCATCTGTTAGCAAAATATAATTCAGTAAAAGTGTGAATCGTTGTGGAGGCTTTATAGTCCTTGTAGACTTGCAAATATAAACAGCTAGTTCACTTAGCTTTGCATCTTCTTGTGTAGTAGTGGGTACAGATGTGCTTAAATCTTCTTGTAAAAACTCTTGAGTTTTGTTTTATTCGGTAACAGTTTTGTTTTATTCGGTAACATCGAGAAGCCTTTCTAATATGATGAATTCAGATTTTTGTGGACTTGTGTCTGAATCAGCCATATCTGTTTCTGCACTTGATCTGTCTTTGTACAAAACTTTCTCATTGAAGATCACGTTCCTGCTTCTGATAATCTTTCTGTTCTGATTATCCCAAAACCGAAATCCAAATTCTTCATCTCCATAACCGATGAAGAAACATTTCTTGGATTTGGCATCTAACTTTTTGCGAGCATCATAATCTATGTGCACATAGAAAACACACTCAAAAACCTTTAAATAAGAAAGTTATACTTCTTTTCCTCTCCATGCTTCCTCAGGCAGTCTGAACTCCAAATAAACTAATGGTCCACAGTTGATCAAATAAACTGCAGTATGAATTGCATCAGCCCAAAATATTTGAGGTGACCCAAAATACAACCTCATGCTTCTAGCTCGTTTATTGATGGTCATGTTCATCTGTTTAACAATGTCATTCTGTTGTGATGTGCTTGGAATTGTCTTTTCCATTCTAATACCGTGGACAGTGCAATAATCCTTGAAACCTCCATCAGTGTATTCTCCTTCATTATCAGATCATAAGCATTTCAACATCAGACCTGATTTAGTCTCAATTATAACCTTCCATTTCTTGAAGTAAACGGTTCAAGGCAAAACTTGTTGTAAAAGCGTTTCAACAAAAGAAAGGGATTGACTACTCTGAGATATTTTCTTTAGTTGTGAAGCTTACAACAATTAGAGTTGTTTTAGGGATAGTAACTGCAGAAAATTTACATCTTGAACAATTAGATGTAAAAACAACATTTCTTCATGGTGAATTGGAGGAAGACATTTACATGCAATAACCAGAGGGGTTTGCAATACAAGGAAATGAGAATCAAGTTTACAAGCTAAAAAAAAGCCTATATGGTTTGAAGCAAGCTCCAAGATAGTGGTACAAGAAGTTTGACAACTTCATGTGCAGTTCGGGATACATAAAATGTCAGGCTAATCATTGTTGCTATATCAAACATTTTAACAACTCTTATATCATTCTATTATTATATGTGGATGATATGTTGATTGCAGGATCCAGCATGGAAGAGATTGACAAGTTAAAACAACAATTGTCAAAACAGTTTGAAATGAAGGATCTGGAAGCTGCTAAACAAATACTTGGCATGAGAATCATCAGAGACAAAGACAAAGGCATACTAAAGCTTTCACAAACAGAGTATGTTAAAAAGATTCTCAGCAGATTTAGTATGGATAATACAAAGCTAGTAAGTATACTTCTAGGGAATCATTTCAAGCTCAATAAATATCAGTCACCAAAAACTGAGCTAGAATATGGATATATGGATAAGATTCCATACGCCTCAGTTATCGGCTCTTTGTTGTATGATATGGTCTATACTAGACCAGACATTGCCCATGCAGTGGGAGTTGTAAGCCAATATATGAGCAATCCTAGAAAGCAACATTGAGAGGCAATGAAATGGATTATAAGGTACTTAAAAGGTTCATCGAAGACATATTTTACTTTCACAGCTAGAGGTTTGAAACTTGAAGATTTTGTAGATGCCAATCTAGCAGAAGATGTTGATAGCAGAAAGAGTACTATAGGATATATATACACTCTAGGAGGCACTGTTGTTTCTTGGAGTTCTACCTTGCAAAAGATAGTTGTTTTTTCAATGATAAAAACTGAATATGTTGCAGTTTCAGAATCTGCAAAAGAGATAGTATGGCTACAAAGTTTCCTAAAAGAATTGGGAAAGGGTACTTTGTATAGCGACTATCAAAGTGCAATTTTCCTTGCCAAGAATCCAGCATTTCACTCTAGTACTAAGCATATTTAAATCAAATATCACTTCATCCGACAATTGCTAGATGATGAGTAATTGTTGCTAGAAATGGTTTGTGGAAGCAAGAATCCAGCTGACATATTAATCAAAGGAGTTACACTTGATAAACTGAAGTTGTGTAAAACTTCAATTGATCTTCAAAAATAAAAGATAATTTCATTATTTGTCTTCAAGTGGGAGATTGTTAGTAGAGACAACAATGTCCCATGATATGCAAGTAGGAATACCTAACTCTCATTTTGCATATGGTGGAGGACACAAATGGGGGCATAAATCATGGCATGATTTATGCCCCTTCTCTCCCATTTTTATATATATAGATGTGAAGAGCTATATGTGTTTGTGTGTGAAACACAGAAAGAAACACACACAGAGAGTTAGAGAAGAGTTGAGTTGAGTAGAGTAGAGAAGAATTTTCTCTTTTTTTTTATTTTGTTATTTGTATTGTTTCTAAACTTAATTAATACAAATCAATAGCTCTATGAAATAGACAAGTTGTTAAATCATATAAATTGATGTGTGTTTGAATATTTAAATATCCTAACAAGTAGTTCAGCCGTAAGCCATTAGTCACTATCGCCTCCGACCCTCGCCTTCAAATTCGTCTCCAGCAGGGCCTGCAGAACGGGTAAGTTTCTCATTCCCTCCTCTTCCCTTATTAATTATATAGGCACCATGCTTAGCATGCGTTAACAATTCACGCATGGATATGGTTTCGGGCAATCGAGTAATTGGTTTGGGCAAGTAACTGAACTGGACTGGCTAACCTGTATGGCTAACCGAGGTCGGATTCAAAAAAAAAGACTGCATGCTTTCTACATTCATGGGATTCAAAAACTAGAGAATAATCTTCGTCAATGAATCGTACAGAGCATTATTGGGCCCCATGAATTAGTTCATATTAGTTCAGCAACATGACAGGTTTAAGTCTTAATTACTAGTTGATCACATTGGCACAGGATCAATGAGTAGAGCAGAAACAAGATCTTTGAGCGCAGTTCCAGCATTTGTATAGCCATCTTCATCCTTGTACACAACATCGATCACACGAGCAAGATTGAGAATCCTTGTCAGAAGAGGCATAGGGACAGCGGTTGGGTAGAGAAACTCTTCATTGATATCCTTCCATGCATCTGTAACTTGTTTTCGAAATTCACGGACAGTTTCTTGTTCGGTGGTGCCATGCTGTTTCATGTAACATTCAATGCTCGAGGCAACATGCCCTCTCTTTTGTTCGAACTATAGAAGTTCGCACACAACAAAATTAGCAATAAAATGACAGAAAATGTGTCGAAATTAACTGCTCTAGGAGTACAGATACAATCACTACCTCGTGGGACACGATGTCATCCATGAGTCTGCAAATTATCTCTGAGGCTTTAAGAATCTTAGGTCCACTAAATAACCAATCGAAGGAGTCCTTCGTTACAGCGTGTCCCATTCCAACAAAGGATGTAGCTGCTAGCATTGCATAGCCCGAAGTGACCAATGCAACAGCCATGTATTCCTCCATTGTTGGTGTGTGCTTTTGGTGGAACCATTTAGATTCAAGGTAGTAGGCTCGAACTTGATTCTTCAACTGAAAAATCATCAAACGTGTCAATCACTATATTTCAGCTGCATATCCCAAGAGAACCGGTCTTTTATTTTCAATCAGCCTGTGACACTTACTGCTTCTTTTGCATAGGAGACACGGCATGATCTTTCTTCAGTGACCATATTTTCCTCAATTTCTGTGTAGACATCTAGAAGTGCCTTGTAAGTCACTTTCATGTACTCTGGCAGCTGATCTACGGCAGTAATTTCCCACCTGTAAATAATTAAGATTGAAAGATTGGATAAACTGAAGAAAAATGGTTGTGAATCGAAAGTAAGAAAACAAAATTACAGAGGAAAATTAATTTTAGAAATTTGATACATAATGATGGTAAAATGTTAGAATGTGAATGGATCCGACCTCTCAATTGCATCAGTAAAGAGCTCGAGCTCTTCCGGTTTACCATAGGCATCATAGATGTCATCAATGACGGAAGTCATGGCAATAACTTTGGTCAGCAACCTTCGAGCCAAGAAATACTCTGGCTCAAAGTACACTCCTAATATCCAAAAGTAGCACTCTATAACCCTGTCTCTTGCAAAAGGCAGCTTCTTAGCAAAATCTAATTCTTTCCACCACCTAATTAATCAGCATTAATAAAAGAAAACTCTCAGTTGAATTTCAATATAGCAAAAGCTAAAACACAGTATATTATCTTGGAATAATCTTGTTTGCAAGCTTACTTTGCAATATCACTTAGTTCCTTTAGGTGTTGCTTTTGCAAAATGTTGAAGTCGAATTTAGCGAAGTTCAGTAAAACTTCACTACATGAAGGATCTTCTTGGTAGATAGAGAAATAATGCCTTGCCTCAAGCCTTGGTATGTTCTTGCGAATAGGCTGCTTTAAAGCATGATTTATTTGTGCTTTCAGCGGAGAGCTTGAATGGGTGGCCAAGAACTCTAGGTGGGAAGTAGTGAACACAAATGCTTCTTCTAGTACCTCATCTCCATGCACCCTGAGATGTGTAGCTTCATAGAAGCTTAAAATTCCTCGGGTGTCATTGACAAGGGAATCACTGAAGTTCCCTTGGCTGTTCTTGAACTTGCCGAACACATCTGCATTGGAACAGAAAACATTATATGAATGTAGAAACTAATTTTGTGAATATTAAATAAGAAATAAGCAAGAGAAGAAAAGTCCATACCACATGAGATTTTATAGCCTTGTTGTCTAAGCAGTCGAAATTTGAGAGAAATGGCGTATAGATCATTATGATGATCATCATCATCATCTCCATTATCGAAGTCGCAATGGGACCTGTACACTTCTCTTAGTATTTCATCAATCTCAATCTCAAAATGGTAAGAGATGCCTAAGCGTTGGATCGCATCAATGAAGTCCAGTGCTTGTGAAGGCTTATTGATATTGGCCATCAGCTCCCTTTTCAATTCTTCCTTCAGTTTTTTATGCTCTGCTTTGTCATTGGTTTCCTGATATGAGCAACAAGAATAACTTTTCTTGAAGGATTTTTATCTAAAAAACTTACGCTACAAAACAGAAACTCGTGCTTATAATATTTATCATTCCTTTTTCTTGAATGAGATCACAAAAATGATTATTGTTTGATTATATGGGACGGTGATTTCAGTTGTTCCAATCAGTTAGTGCGATGGCCATGAAAACCAATTGAGGCCTTCTCACTTAAAAGTGCTAGGAGGACAATATCCGCACGCGGTCAAGCACATGAATAAGATAATTATTTTTACCATGGAAGCGGTTGCGGACGAGAGAAAATGGTCACCCCAAATGCTAGGAGGAAAACTTGCACAACGGCGACTAACATTAGGCTCGACAGTAGCAGTAGAGAAAATTGCAGAACCTTCAACAGACATTTTCCTAGTATGATTTGGGAATTAGTGGGTTTCTGAGGTTCGATCGTTTGTGTTTTGAAGGGTGTTCTGTGATTCGAGAGCTCTTCTGCTCGACTATTTACAGGCTAAGGCACCTTATAAGCTTTATACAGCGCAATTATTCAAAAGGGACGTGACACTCACACACGTGTTGGATTGAAATAAACTCGTGTAACAAGAGTTGGATTAGGCAATTGAGTCAGTTTTCCTCGTAAGCTACATTTTTTCTTGTTAAATAACCTCACATATTTGACTTATCATCATGCAAACAGAGAGAGAGAGAGGGATAACACTCTTATTTATGAAGAACAAAAAACCAAAGAAACTCTATAAACATGTTCTTTTAAGGAAGAATTGACAAGAATAAACCAGGTGACATGAGAAAACATTATTACAAGGAAGCAGATCATGAATAAATTACAGATTCCAAGGGAAAAAAAGAACTGAGAGATCTGGACATCGGCAGATATAGAAAGATATAGTAGGGGGCAAAATCTTTTTCTAAAATTCTTGAAGAAGAATATTTGATGGATGATTTTATATCTCCATCTTTTATTTTTTTATTATTATTATTAATATAGGTGTCCATGTTAGGTTGCGCGCATCATGACTAATCCTACAAACCCTTAAATTAACGACCATATAAGTCTCCAGTAGCCATCATATGAGCCATTAAAAACTCGAACCTGAAACCACAAAAAGAACAAACTTCTTAATTCTAAACTCTTACCATTTAGCCACCGTCTAAAATGTATAATTTATGGTGATTCCGATACACAAAATATCTTTCATCTAAAATTCTGATTCAAATATTTATTCATTATTTATTTTATATGTTAAACGTGTTAGAAACACCTTCACATTTTTAATGTATTTTTTAAATGATTTGGCCGCGGAGTAGCGTGGGAAAAGGATATATGACCTCTCGAAACTCCTGCCATATACTCTTTATTTTTTTATTCTTTATTCTCTCTTTGCCTAACATCTTGAGTTGCTTGTGGGAAAGGGTTGAAAATATTCATATTAGTTTCTTGCCGGTTCTCACTAAATAATTTTTTATTTTATTTTTCTTTCTTGATTTTTCTTAGAATTATTTTTTTATTTTTGAGTTTTAGAAAATTCATAAATATGAAAACAATAAGTGAAAAGGTTGAAAATTATAAAATAGTAACAAAAATTGACTAGATTGTGTCAAAAATGTATTTTTTTTTTTAGATTTTAAAAAAAATTATCAAAAAAACAGGAGTGAAATACAAGGAATCAAAAACAAAGATTGGAATTTTCCCTTCCAAACTATTAGCAACATGGTTGGAACAAGAAAGCTGTTCAATGGATTTGATTTTATTACATGAGAATGATGTATCCGTGGTGGGCATTGCTAGCCAAACTTCTTCTTCTTCCTCTCTTTTTTTTTATATATGGAGTACAAAGATTATTTTAGTTACACTTTTCTCTCTACTTTGCTCGTCGTTCCTTTCTCTCTCATTTTGCTCCTACTCATCATTATGGACGTCCAAGTTAAAGAACGGTTCTAGGCTATATCGGCTTTACAACTCAGTCCAACTAATTAAATAGAAAAAAAGAAAAAATTGTATCAACAGGATGGATTGAGATTATTTTCTTTCGATAACCATTATTTTTTCAATCCTCTTAGTTCAGCAACATATGAGAGATTTAAGACATAAACTTGACGTACCACTGAGTACAACGTTATCGAACCATGTTTCATGAGACTGCAAACTTGCTTTTCCATGACAAAATTATTCGAAGGCTGCAAGTGACCTTGTCGAAAAGGATATAATCATGGACCACAGCACATCATTTTCTGCAGGCTTGATTTTTCAGGAGATTTATTTTCAAACTACGTACATGGAATTCCACTAGACTGTAGTGCAATCTTCGACCATGAATAGTTCTGAGCATTCATGGATCATTCAAGTATTTATTTTGTGGTAAAGGATTTCAATCCTCCTAGTTCAGCAACATATGGAAGATTTAAGTCTTAGTTACAAGCTGATCACATTGGTACGGGATCAATGAGTAGAGCAGAAACAAAATCTTGGAGCACAGTTCCAGTATTTGTATAGACATCTTCATCTTTGTACACAACATCAATTACACGAGCCAGATTGAGCGCCATTGTCAGAAGAGGCATAGGGACAGTGGTTGGGTAGAGAGACACTTCATTGCCACTATTTTAGGTTTAATATTCCTTTTAACTATAAATTTACACATACCAGTTTACATAAAGACTTAATTTGTAAGCATTAAAGGTACATTTTATTATTTCTGCAGTCTTTTTAGGACATTTTAGTTGTTGTAAATAGGATTATTTAGCTTTTATTTTGTTTTTTTTATAATAAGAGATAGATTGATGATTTAAATAAAACTTTCACACTACAAGATTTCACAATTTTACCGACGTCTATCGATATGTGATTAAGAATTCGTTGGTAATTTATTTACCGACGCCTTCATCGACGGAATAATTCTGTTGGCTTTCTGTTCGTCAGTAATATGATCGTCCGTCGCTATATCGGTCAGCAACACAAAAAAAATATTTGCGAATGGTTTTACAAATTGAAATTGCAAGCCAGAAAAGAAAAGTTTTCCACTTGAAATATGCCGACAGATTTATCCCGTTGGCCGATGGTTTTACATATTGAAATTGCACGCCAGAAAAAAAAAAAGTTTCCCACTTGAAATATGCCAACGGATTTATCCTGTTGGTGGTAGTGTAACATACCAACGAATACATACTGTTGGTAAAGTTGTCGATGAATGTTTGAAATACCGACCGAATATATCTGTTTGTATATTCATCAGTCATTGTGGCAGGTACTGTCAAATACCAATCAACAAAGTCCGTCAGTAAATTTATCGGTGAGTATGAAATACTGACCGAATATATTCATCTATAAATTCGTTGGTGAATGTTACAGCTATTGTCAAATGCCAATGGATATATTCCGTTGGTAAAACCCTTTGTGATTATTTTTAAATATTTTAAAAAAATATATTTAGAATACATAATATAAAATTATATAAATTAATGGTAATAAAAACCAATTATGCAAATAATTTTTTTATTAAACATCAAAAACAAAAAAAAATAAAGTTATATAATATTCATTTAAATGTGCTTCAAAAAAAATATTAAATGAACTATTAAAGGTAAATAATATTTATTATAAATTAATATAAAGGTGGAGGAGAAGGAGGAGGAGGCTGGTGGTTATACGACCAAAAAGGATGAGACGCACATGTTTGACCACTCTGTGATACCCATGTTCATGATCATTTCACAAAGCTGTTCATGATCCGCTTTTTGTTGTGCATGCTTTGCTTTAAGTTGTGCATACTCTGCTGATAAGTGGTCATATTTTTCAGTAAGCTAAGTCTTGTATTGCTGCAAGGCCATGAACTCCTTAGATTGGGTGCTTGATACTGATTGGGAGCTCCCAACAGTTGAAACACTATGGGTCATCCGCAAGTTCTCCGTCGTAGTGTTGGAGAGTCTATAAACCTGATTTTTATCGAGTCCACCAGATGATCCACCCTCCATCCATAAATCCAGATCGAATTCTGGATGGATCAAAGGATCGTCCCTATATCTCTCCCTCAACCAGCTATTATAGGTCTCCTGAAAATAAAAATAAAAAAGTAATCATCATATTCAATTCAATAAAAAATAATAACTTACAAAATAAAATGGTTGAACAAACATACCATGAAGTGTTGAGTACGGTTGTTAACAAACTATTGTGACTCCTTTTGGCTATCTTAACTCCACACATGTGTCTCCACGAACAGTTCCATTGGCCTCGGCTTACATCCAAGAGACGTAGCCTATAATGAAAAAAGATTAATTAACAACAATAAATTAATTTAATGATATAGTTCATTTAAATCAATTTTACCATCCATTTTGCATATGCAACAAACGAAACAGAGTCGCCAGTGTACGTTGTCACCGAGCCATGAATTGGTCGATTCTGGTTGCCAGAACCGAACTGTGAGCGTTGGGTGAACCGCTCAGACGTCACATGCTCAAGATAGCACGGCCATATATCTTTCGGGATATATATCAGTATGAAAGCTCTCCAAACCTCCACGTCGTTCCAGCCTTGGAGACCCCTATCTCTCGCAGTGTTTTTTTGTCTTTTTTTGTTCTTCATACCAAACATCACATAATCTACTTCCATAGCGAGAAGTTACATTTTGAAATATAATTTTTTTCTAAAACAAATCTTGTATTGCTTTCGATGTTACCTAGTTGTTGCATGATTTTTTCACACCCTCCTCACAATAGTGTCTTGCGCACTGTCCCAGTCGAATTTATCGTGTATATAAATAATTAATTTTAAATAAAAATAATGGAATCTCCATCGATGATTTAAACATCGATGATATTACTCGGGTGGTCTCAATGTTTGTAAACCTAAAAATAAATTAAATTGATGAAATATTGATTTGTTATTCATAAATTATGTTATAATTTAAAAGAAAAAACTAAAACCTTAGCAAACTTACATTGAAAGGTCATCCTTCCATTGATTCTGCTGCGAAGACACGCCACCTATACGTTGTGAACCCGCACTAGAAGAGGCAGCATTGGTTGATGGTGCAGGTGGCGCAGGTGTCTCTTCTTGAGAGACACCTAATAATACATCATCCTCATTGCTAGAAGAATTAGTTACGACCATACGTGAGCGACCAACTCTGGTTGTCATTATATGCATCTACACAATTATATACAAATAATTATATAATTAAATTAGAATGTTAAAAAAATTCAACAGCATCTCCCCTATACTGGATACTACTCAAATCTACAAACTTGTAAATATTGACAAAAATCATAACCAATTGACTCCATCTATACTAATATTGTATATATATATAACATTCATACTAATTACAAGGTAAATTCAACATTAACCACATATTCAATCATTATAGAAATGCAAACAATAAAAAATATTCAATAAATTTCAAGAAAACTCTAGACTAACAATTAAAATTAATGCAAATAATTAAACACAAATCATGCAATAATGTAGTAAAATTACTAATTATTCCAACATATTCAATTACTTATTCTAAGGTAAATTCAACAAATTATTCAATCATTATATAAATACAAACAATAAAAAATATTCAATAATTTCAAAAAAAAACTCTAGACTAACAATTTAAATTAATGCAAATAATTAAACACAAATCATGCAATAATGTAGTAAAATTACTAATTATTCCAACATATTCAATTACTTATTCTAATTACTTATTCTAAGGTAAATTCAACATTAACAATTATAATTCAACAAATTATTCAATTATTATGTCAATACAACAATAAAATATATTGAATAAATTTTAAAAAAAAATAGACTAACAATTAAAATCAATAGAAATAATTAAACACAAATCATGCAATAATAGAGTAAAATTACTAATTATTCCAACATATTCAATTATCAATTTTAAGGTAAATTAAATATTAACAATTACAATTCAATAGATTATTCAATAATTATGCCAATACAACAATAAAATATATTCAAAAAATTCAAAAAAAAAATTATAGACTTTAGGAATGAAATATGCTTGCCTTAATAATGTGTTTATTTCAAGACTTCATCTACATTATAAAAATAAACCAAAATAAAAAAATATAACAAAAATAAAAATAGCTAAAATAAAATAAAAATCCTTAAAGTAAAATAAAATAGAGAAAACACATACCTTTTAATTTAATGAAGATTGAAAAAAAAAAATAGTAACCTTTGCAGCAATCTTGAAGGAAATGAGAGCAAAAAAATTGAAGAGGGGAAATCAAGAACGGAGAAGATGAAAAAATGAATTGAAGAGGCGGTTGTTGAGATTTATAAGGCAGTTTTACCGAAGAAAATAAAAAATATATTATTTTTATTTATTCCATCGATGAAAATTAAATTGTGTAGAGGTTGATATGATGTGATTCGGTCTACCTAGTGAATCCAAAGAAAACCTAAATAACCGATGAAAATATAATTTGACAAAAACAAATTAAGATGATATTAAAAAATATTAAGGTTATAATATATTGGATTGATTTATGTCAAATTGGGTTAAACTACCAAATTTAAGACCCGGGTCACAAGACCTTGATAACTCTACAAAAAAGATTAACAAATTATGAAGCTCAATTCTCAATTAATCTAATATTAAAAGATGAAACTGAAATAAATTCAATTAAAAAATAAACATAAAAAACAACCAAAATCAACTTTATTTAACCTATTAAACTCGCAATACGAGTCATGAGACCGGTATAATCTTATAGAAGCAAATCAAAATAAATTATGAAGTTCAATCTCCATTCAACCCAATGTTGAAAAATGAAATTGGAAAAAAACATCAGTTAAAACAATACTTAAAAAACCTAAGTTAATACAGGTTAACCCACCACACCAACCTTATAGAAAATAAATTAAAATAAATTATCAAATTCAATCTCTATTAAATTTAATATTAAAAAATAAAATAAAATAAATATTGTTTAGTAAACAGTTATTTCTAAAGCGGGCAACAATAAATTCAACTTTTTTTTATTAGTTTTTGTTAATAATAATAATATTTGAAAGCGTGTAATAGAAGAGATCTTATGAAATTGAAATTGCAGATGATGGTAATGAGCATGGGAATGATCTTTGTAGTTTTGCTCTTGATTTTCGACATGTGTGTGAGTGAGGTTGTGTTGTTTTTTAAAGTATTTTTATTAAAAAATATTTAAATAATTATTTTTTAATTTTTACAAAATTATTTTTTACATCAATGCATCAAAATTATTAAAAAACACTAAAAAAATATTAACTTAAAATAAAGAAAAAAATAAAAAATACTTTTAAAATACATAAACAAAATGTTCTATCATTTCAAGGGATGAGTCTTGTTTTTTAAGTTATTGTTTCGATGATCATATTCATATGTTATCAATATTCTTTCTTTAGTCCTTTTTTCCTTGATATGTTTTTATTGTGGCCCCCTCTTACTCTTTTCTTGTTCCCTTGTTTAGTGAAAGAATTTAAAATTTCCTTTAGTCCATCTTCCATCCAATTTACGTTGATTTTTTTTTATTATTATTGATTTAGATGTCCAAATTAACTTATATATATTTTAATTAATTTCATGAATTATAAAATTAATGATTATATAAATTTTTAATATTTTTAAGATTTGTAGAACTTAAACTAATAACCTCTAAAAAACAAATTCAGAATTTAATTAACTAAGTTATACTTTTCAAGGTTAATAGAGTAGATGTGTGTCTGGCTATCTGTCATATATGTTATATATCAAGAATTAACAGTAAAATGAACAAAAATTTAATGAATTGGTCACATTAAAAAAAAAATAGTTCTTGAATAGATAACATTTCTATATTACATTGAGATAATGTGAAGAATGGGAGGGGATGAATTAAATAATTCATCTTCTTTTTTTGTAGTAGCTTTTTTTTTTTCGTTAATCCCACTTATTTTACCTTAAAGCTTTGTATTGTGTTATATTTGTGTTGAGTCTAGTATTATCTAGAGTTTGTTAATCTCACTTATTATAGTCTATTCATATATATTTTTTTAGTATAAATATCCCATAAATATCTAAGTTATTAGATATTTAATATAAATAATTTATAAATATTCTATATATTTATAAAAATATTTATGGAAATGTGTACATAGTATAAAATACCATTAAAATAATAAAAATGCTAGATAAAGATGATCGGGTTAACCAGATGAAGACTTGATTGCTGATTTGGCCTAGCTACATCCAATAAAACATGGTTATCCAATATGGACAAGTAGAGCCTATCTATGTCATGAATCTATCAGATTTCAATATATTACCGGGACTGTATCAGAAGGAACTGAACAGCATCACAGAAAACAAAAGAAATTGACGAAATCCTATCCGATGAGAAATTATTAAATGAATCTAACTTATCGGTCGCGTCCAAACTAATCATATTATAAGGGTTCATTATAGTGATCCAGTGTACCAATCAATCATACAATAACATTCCGGTGCATGAATCTAGCCTCTATAATAATCTCCCTCGAAGAGACATGGTAAAAAATAGAACCATGCATGAGGAAAATCAAAGACTGAACATGGTGACCCAGATGAAGAACTTGAGCTTCTCACCAATGTATCTGACATGTTTGCAATACGCACTCGGCTCAAACATGAAGATAACTTCTAGGTCAGAGACTAGCTATGTTCAAAACAATTATTATTATTAGTAAATTACTTGATTATGTGGCTTGTAAACTGCCAGAAAATGGCTAACATGACAGGTCCATTGAGAAAGGGATTTAGACGACCAAAATTGAAAGTACGAGGTCAGATGCACTAAGCCCAATCCCTTGTGATCATGAGATGTATTTCTTCTTGGTTGTTTTCGCATCATGAAGATATAATGATAACAAGTGGCCAGATATACTACTGAGATTGACCAGCCTGTGTGCAGACAAAATCACCAGATTCATGTCCATTTCAACTTGGATTTGTTAGGTATATTGCCTGAGACTGAGAGCGCTAACATAGAGATGGTTAGAAAATGGATGGCAGTGTGACAAGTTCATTCGGCATCAAGTTACAAAAGGGCTGGACAAAGATTTCACCCTCTGTGACCTGATGAAATACAGAAAGATGCATGAATCACAATTGTTAACAAAAAGAGGGAAACAGGCCGCATCCTCAACAAGAACATTGGTATAGTGTCAGCTCTATATAGGAAGAGAATGTTATTCAATTTTGAAGTATGCAATAGAATTACATTGACTATGACATACAAATATTACAAAAACCTATCTGCTGATGACCTTACAGTTTTACAACTCTCCTAAAAAGGGGCACGCACCATTCCCACCTATGAAAAGTACACGTAGTTAATACAGCTATATAGTAAATCCAACCTTCATCTCCTCCGATATCAATACCAGGCAGAAGCAGATATCAAATTCCTATCTTTCCATCCCAACAGCATAGCTCCATCCTTTTCCACCAATGTATAGTGCTCTGAGTAAGTCCTCAGCAGGCTCTTTATCACAGAGTTCACATAAGTACTCAAAGGGTATTGCTGGAAACCTGCCATCATGAATCTAGACTTCCACTTGCGAAAGAGCTCGTGGCGCTCCACCCTCTCCTTCCCCTCACATGCAATGACATTTACCATATCCCTGGCTAGACAATGCTGCTCCACACTAATACGCTCCTTTCGATCCCTTGGCAGCGTCACATCAATGGATTCAAACATTGCCAAGTAATAGTTTAGAGTTTCTACAAACCGAGTGACGAAAGGGGTTGTGTTTGTATTTGATTCTTGCTCCACCAAAGTGACTACCTTGGGATTGAATGATTTGATCATACGAAGCAGCCCATCTCTTGGGTTGTTCACATCAACACTTTCATCAGGAGTGTGGTGGAGCTGCAAGGGAAAGTTTACAGCTAGAGCCTCTCCAGGCCTAACGTCAAGCATTTCCTTTGTCACGTCTGGAGCAAAAACTGGTACCCCATGAAACTCTACAGGGATATTAAATTTCTCAGAAATTGCACTCAACCGTCCCGCAACTGCCTCTAATCCACCCCCACGGGCATATTTAGAAACAGGATCGTCAATACCTGTAATACGCACATGTGGAGCACCACCTGGTCTGGCTGCAAGAGCTTGAAGGAGAGTCATCCACTGTGTTCCCTGAGCAATTTGGAAGTCTATTATATGGATGCGGTCCTCATTTCTGCATGCTTCAGCAATGGCTCCATTGGCTGCCATGTAACCAAACTTCAGGTATGGACAGATTTCGTACAAGATGTGCATGTAAGACAGCAAGTCCTTGCCTTCAGGCTCCCTGCACTTAAGGGTACGATAAATATTAGCACCTGATGACTCCTTCCTTGCTACCAATCCCTCAATCAAGTATGCACCAAGACGCTGGATTGGTTCCCCACTGATTGACACCACACTTCTGGCATTCTCAGTCAACTTATCAAAAGCACTCACGTTGTTTTCGGCAAGAGCTTTAGCGCATGCAATCAACAGCTGCTTCAGATCCCCAGGTGGAATACCATGCAAAGGCACTTCTTCCATTGACTTTTGGCGTTTCTCGACATGAGCACCTTCACCCAACTGCCTCTGCCTTGAAACAAAAGATGTCTGATTCTGAATAACATGAGAACCCTGGCGCCAGGCCCTAGGTTTCTGATCTGATGTCTGTGGCCTGCTACTTTCCCCCAGAGAAGCATTTGACGTGTTCAGATCTTCGTCATCATCTGGCCCCATAAGAGCAGTCTCCAATTCCTGCAACGCGTGTTTTATGTTCTGGCTAGAACTTGCATCTTGCAACGACGAAGTGCCACCAGAAAAGAGCTGTAGACTTTCTAGTCTACAGTCCACAGAAGGGCTTGGCCTATTAAAATAACTGTTGGATTCAAGAGAAGAGTTACGAGAAGGACTAACACCTGAGAGATTATCTGTGGAGCTGTAGCACTCCTGACTGTCACTTAATGTAGCAGTGTATGTATCACACTCAAATTGAGTATAGAAGGGTGAGCTGGGTGAATTTCCTATATCAAATTTCAATGAGCCAAACAACCTATTAGGTATAGAAGGAACAGACGGATAAGAAGATGAGTAGGATAGGCCCGCACCAGTGACACCGTATCCAAAATACTGGTGCGATTCCATACCTACACGTTTAGCATCAGTTGTTCTACTAGCAAGACAGAAAGTGATTGGCTAGGCTCTGTTGTAAACAATTAAAGGCAGCTTTACAACCCTCTTCTTAGAACTCAAACTTGTTTATCTTAGGTAAAACAAATATGTATCAGCCTGGCAAAAACAAAAGGAACCAAAATGAACATACAAGTCAGTCTTATTTCAGTTACAAGATAACTCCATGTTAATCAAAACTCTAAAGCAAGGTACAAGAAAACATCAGAGAGAGATCATGACAAAAATCTTCAAGGAAAATCCAGACACAATCAATATTGAAGCAAAAGGCAATAAAACAAAAGGATTTCATTATCAACATCCATAATATAACTCAGGCATTTCTATCGACGTCCAGTCCCTTATTTCCTACATGTAGGAAGAACATTCAAACTTTCTTGCTGAACCCTGTACTCTTGCAGAATCAATCAGTAACCAAATACAGGGTCGTCACCAATTTCTTTACCATCTTCAAGACCATATAGGAAAGTGAAATACTTTTCAAATTACCAAACCAAAGACGTAATAAATCCACAAAAACTACAACATGTTAAATTTTCAGTTACCAAATACGCACCAGGAATTTGCTTCTAAAATCTGCTTTGTATCAACTCAATCAATCTAAATCTAAACATGTAATAAAAACAAGGAACTAATTCAACAAAAAAGAAGTAAGAATTCTTCTCTAAGAAAGGCAAGAGAAACTACAATTTGCTCTTAAAAAAAAAAAAACAAAGAACTGAACAGGAAATTAACCTCTGTGACTCCTTATTGGACCAAAAAAAATAGAAAATAGCATCATGTAAAATCAACAATTTATTTAAACAATCGTAGATCACTCAAAGAAACAGAGTCCAAGGTATAAGCAACTATAGAACAAACAGCACTGCAAGGCTTCAAAGAAAACCCTTCACTTATCACACAAAAACGAAACAGAAAAGACATAAAACTGAATCAAATATCAAAAAAAGAGGGGTTAACTTACCGGGAAAACAAACCCAAAAATCTTCAAAGTTCCAATCTTGAAAAACCAGTATAATACTCGAAAACAAAACTGTATCGAAGAAATGAAACAATAAAGAAACTAACTTTCTGGGAAAGAAAAGAATCAAAGAATTGGTGTTTGATTTTTTTTTGAATTTCTATTTGACTTTGTTTTCTTCGTAGTTTTCTATGATGGGTTTTCAGGTTTGGTTTGGTTTTTTACAGGAATTCCAAAGACAGCCAATCTTCAGTAGTATATATAGAGGGGAGGGGGAGGGGGAGGAAACGGGGTTTTATACGGAATTTAACGTCACTGAGTGGTTCTAATAGGTTTACATTTGAAGGTGGGGTCGTTGATTGACGGAGTGAGAGATTGTTAACGGTTAATCTCGCCGACCATTCGTTACACCTACGTAGAACATTCTTTGGTTTTTCTTACATGACCTCTGCATTCTTGACTGCGCTGACCCACCCGATGACTGAAAACGTGGGAATCCTTGTTCTAGCCTAGCCAACAAGTTATATGACACATAATTGATATTTTCGAACAAATATTTTTTAATTAAAAAATATTCAAGTGATATTTTTAGATATTTTTTAAAATTATTATCATTAAAAAAAATTAAAAAGTAAAACACTATAAAATAAAAAAAAGATTGAGTCGCATTATAGGGTAATTGATAGAGGTAGCTAATGTTACTTCTTGCCAAGCCTCGAAGTATTTTCTTAACTTGTCCATAATTTTTTTAAAGGGTATTATTTAATTAATTATATAGAAAAGATTTGGAGTTCAATAATTTATTCCATATAACCATAACTAAAACAGTTTAGTATTAATTATAACTAAAATATTTTAGTATTTCACTATACATTATACAATATAATCTATAATAAAATATTAAGTTTTTATGTTTTTTACGATAAGCTGTACGATATAGTAAAAAATGGATGATTTTAAATTTTTTTTTTATTCTGTTTTTTTCAATAATCCTAAGTTTGATAGGTTAATCTAATTTTACAGATTAATTCAGTTAATTCAGATTTTTTTTCTTCTTATTTTTTTCTTCCTATAGGTTTTTTTCCTTTGTTTTTTCTTTTTAATTAATTTTTTTTTATTTAGTTTGTTAAAGTTAATTTTTTTTATTTAGTTATCAAACTTTTATGGTACGGATCGTGGGTTTAATGGGTTAAACCAGCTAATTCTGGTTTAACCTGTAAATTATTTTTTTTCCTATTGAGTTATCAAACTTTTATAATATGAATTTCAAATTTGACTAGTTAACCTAGTTTAAAAGGTTAACTTAGTTAATTCATATTATTGTTTTCTTTTTCTTCATTATTTTTTACTTTATGTAAGTTTTTTTTTTCTTAGTTTTTTTTCTTTTAGATTAATCCCTTTTTGGTTTGATAGTTTTTTTTTTGCTTTTTTCTTTTTTTTGTTTGTTTCATTAATTTTTATAAATTTAGTTTGTTAATATTAAATTTTTTTTCCATTTAGTTATCAAACTTTCATAACACGGATTCCAGATTTGACGGGTTAACTTGGTTAATTCAGATTTTTTTACTTTTTCTTCTTTAGTTTTTTTTTCTTGTAGGTTTTTTCTCTTTGTTTTTTTCTTTTTCATTAATTTTTTTGTTTAATTTAGTTCATTAATATTAATTATTTTCTATTTAGTTATATTACACTTTTATGACATGAATTCTAAGTTTGACAGGTTAATCTAGTTGATTTAAATTTATTTTTTCTTCATTAATTTTTTTTTCAATTTCATCTTTTAATAATGTAATTAACTATAACCAAAAGGTATCAACCTTTTACTATGGACTGCACAGTGTAGTCCATGATAAAAAGACTGATATTTTTTTATTTAATTTAGTTTGTTAATAATAAGTTTTTTTCTATTCACTTATCAAATTTTCATAACAAAGATTTCAGATTTGATAGGTTAGCCTAATTAATTCAATTTTTTTTTATTTTTTATGAGTTTTTTCTACCTATAGGTTTTTTTCTTTGTTTCATAATTAATCTTTTTTTTATTTAATTTAAGTCATTAATATTAATTTTTTTTCTATTTAGTTATCACACTCTTGTGACATGAATCTCAGGTTTGATGAGTTTACCTGATTTGACGGGTTAACTTAGTTAATTCATATTTTCTGTTTCTTTTTCTTCATTAGTTTTTCCTTCCAATTTTATTTTTTAATATTATAACTATAACTAAAATATATCAACCTTTCACTATGGATTACACTGTGCAAATAAATAATGATGGGTTAACCTAATTTGATGGATTAAACTAATTGATTTATATTTTCTTCTTTTTTTCTTAAATAGTTTTGTCTTTCAATTTTATTTTTTAATATTGATTTGATGAAAAATTAAACTTTATGATTTGTTTTGTTTACTGTTCATAAAATTATTGTGATTTCATGAGATGATGTTACTGTAGCTTTCCTTGCAAAGCACTATTTATTAGAATAATGCTTTGTTTTATTAATATTTTTTAATTATTATATTTTTATGACACAACCTTATAATCAGACTCATATCCAAGGCTTCGGATATGGTGTTACAATCAAACTCACTTAAACTTGAATCATGCAAGTTTAATATTATTATTAATATTATAAATATTATTTTTGGATCAGCCATTGCAAACAAACTCAATACTTAGTATAGTTTTGCATAAAAACCTAACAAGTTTTGCAGAAAAATCTAACACTTTTAAATCTAATTTTTTTTAATATTTTTTATATAAAAAAATTAATCTACAACGCAACTCCAGCCACGTTTCTAGTTAAGATTCTAGTGAAGATTTAATTAGGGTTCAATAATTATGTCTGCCTTTTCATTTGAATGTAAAAATGTATGAGCTGTTTTTGTAATCAAACAATTAATTACGCGTTATTTCTGAGTCATTAACATCATTGGTATGAAGTACTAACCAGTCTTCCTAATTCGGTGTACATTATGAAAATGGATTTAAGTCCTACGTTAGTTAATTTATCCTTAGTAATTTAGGAGAAATTCATAAAGTAAGACTATATATTTAGCCCCTAATTATTCAGTTTCTTTGTATTATCTGTGAATAGCTTTTGAAATTATAGGCTATTAAATGACAATTTTATGAGTTTAATTGAAAGTTTTGTTTGATTTTTTATGGATTAAAATGTTGATGCTAACTCCTTGATTATTGCAATGAAAAAATTGGACAATAAATAATTTTTTAATACATGAGTTGAAGGATAAATTATAAGCTAATTCTTTGATATTTAATAATTTGTGCTTATATTCACATCTTATGACCGAATTGTATCATTATGGAAATAGGGAGGTTTTGCAAATAAGGAATGACTTTGATATCTTGTCATGGTGGAAGGTTCAAGCTAGTAAATATCCAATCTTCCAATACATGACTAGAGATTTATTGGCTTTACTTGAATTTATTGTTGTTTTAGAGTCTATTTCTAGCATTAGTAATAGAGTGGTGAGCAAGACTCCATTCAATGAATTTAGATGCATTGATGTGTCTTCAAAATTGACTGTGGATTGCTGAAAATAAAGATAATATAATAAATATTTGTGTTTTTCTTTTTTTATAGATATATTTTAACAATTTAATGAATCAAGATCTTGACTTTTATTGGTAACTATTGTTTTTAGATGGGATGGTATTAAATTCGGATAGTGACATCACCATGTTAGGAAGTATGAAACTTATTCATTGTTATGACTTTTAGTGAATACAAATTGGGCACCATTTGTCTTTGACTTGCTTGCTATGCATCTCCAAGAAAAAGAGAGGTGGAGTTGACAATCATGATCGTTGAATCTCGAAATTACTTACTAGAAGACGAAAGTGTGTTTGGTATGGGTTTAAAGAATAATGAGTAATAACAAGTGTTTTTAGAAATAAAATAAGAATTTTAATTAATATTATGAAAATATAAATAATGTGAGTTTATGGGTCTCAACTCAAAAGTTAGGTGGAAGAAGAAAACATGATATAATTTCCAACATAATAATTCATTAAATAATTTGTTTTTTATAAGATTATCTCCCGTTTCATTGCTTAGATTACTGGTTTGGTAGGTTAATTCTAGTTAATTCGAGTCATTTTATTATATCATTTTTTAATTGATTTTTTTAATTTTATCTTTCTACACAAGTCGATTGAGAATTGAGTTTCATAATTTATTTTGATTTTTTTCTTGTTAAGTTATCTTGATCTCATAACTTGAGTTATGGATTTGACAAGTTGACTCAAATTATTTTTTTATCTTTTTTAATTGATCTTATTTTTCAATTTCATCATTCAACATCATTAGGTTTTTTAAAAAATTAATTTATTTTGATTTGTTTTCTACAAGGTTATCATAGTCTCATGACTCAATATATGGTTTAACATATTAACTCGGGTTAACCCGAATTGAACTAATATATTGTCATCTCAATGTTTATATAAATAAATATTTATTTTGAGTTAGACTATATTTTCATCGGTCATACATGTTTTATTTAGACCCGCGAAAGAGACTAAGTCACGTCAGATTAATTCTCACTTGATTTAATTTTTTCTACTTAAAAAAATATTAGCAATACCTAGATTTTTTTATATTAAAAAACAAATTAATTCAAACTAGACCAATGATATGCTAACTTAATATTTAGAATAAACAATCAATTAAAGAAAAAAAAACAAGAGAATCATTTTGAAATAAAGAGAATAATAATAATATTTCTAAAAGGATCCCATACAAGATTATTTAGTTCATTATATCACTAAAATAATGGCGAGCAGACTTGCCTAATAAAATTTCTCTACAAATAAATATACAAGACATTTTTAATTTACAAACCAATAATTACAATTGAAATTTAAATTAACAAAAAAAAATAAAAGAGGGAGATTTATGTTTCTTTCTTCCTTCACTAAATTAACAATATTTACTAAAATAGTGTTTTATTCTACTTCTTTTTATCTAATTTATGTTTTTTTTTTCAATTTCAATTACATATTTAAACGTTAAGTTTATTGGGGATTGGGATTTTTTTTTAATTTACTTTTAATAAGATTATCTCAAATCCATAATCTAAATCGTGAGTTTGTTGAATTAATTTGGTTGACTCGATTTTTTTGTACTTGAATGAAAATTATACTTTATAATATATCTTAATTTATTTTTTACGAGGTTATCTCTATCTCGCGACTTGGGTAATAA